TTGGTGCTTTTATTAAACGAGGCACAGGACAGGATTTCCCACACCTCTCTCTTGTAAGCTGTGATTTCCTCTCTGATGCTCCTTGCTGTGTCCACAAAAAAGTTTTCTGTTTAATTTAATTGCAATTTTGTTTTTGTTTTTCCGAGCAAAAAATAAATATCATACATTTTCCCCTGATTTATAAAATGTAATTCAGTGTAACATTCTTGTCAGGCATATTTACACCAAAAATCAATTTATGACATATTAAAAGACCAATTACTTTCACCCCAAATACGAATTAGTTATAATTTTACGTTTTTAAAATGTTGCCACTATCCTAGGTTTTGCCCATTTGTAAGTAATCATTTTTACTCATTTAAAACACAATAAAATGTAATATGCTCCATTATTCTTTTATATATTTTAATATGTACAAGTCAGAATAAGCATGTTGTTTGAATTTTTACATAAATATTGTGTTACACTGAATGACAATATAACATTATTTCAACCAAATTGTAACATTTTGTTCTCCAAAAACTTATTTGAAACCTTAAAAGTAGACACTTTACTTACATTTAATGTGCTTTCTATGGACATATAATCACTTTTGTCAATTTCTTTTGATGTGGACCTCTTAACGTCTTTGACCCGTTTACATCTCAAAGAAATTCAAAATTGCGAGATACAATGTATTACTCGTTCAAGGTGATGTGGTGTGATGGCAGCACTGCAGTACCTGTATGTGGTGATTTCAATCTCCAGCGACATCTTAATGTTGAGCAGATCCTGATATTCTCTCAGCAGCAGCCCAATCTTCCCTTTAATAGACTTCAGTTCCTCCTTTAGTGTCTCGATACGGATCTATGACGCATGATTGAGTGACATCTTCAAATCAAATCGAGTGTCGCTCGCTCGTGAATGGTTGTAACATGTTGCTATGAGGTTGCTTTCTGGGAAGTTGCTTGATGGCCCAATACAAAAAAGTTCCCACCCTGGGTCTCAATGATATTCTGCCCTAGAAAATGACTGGCTGCATTCGAAATTGCATACTTCCCTATACTATAGTAGGTGAAAAGTGTTTACAGTATTTATAAAACAGTAGGCAAAGGGTAGCAAGCTACTACGTCCATCTAAATTCTGAAGTGCACATATGATGGACACTTTACTATCCCATGAGTCCACAGGAGAGGATTTGTGAATACAAGTGTAACAACGAAACTATGCTGGTAGGTGCAGATTACATTTATATTATATAGAATGTATTTTTTAACAGCCGTCAAGTAATTACTACTTAATTAAGTACCTACTTAATATGTGATTTTGGATGTAGCCATTGTGACATGTTCTCTTTACATTGAAGGGGGCGTGGCTTTACCTGTAGCTCCTCCTCCTCTTTCTTGTGTCTCTCCTGTGCTTCCTGGATCTGGAGCAGCAGTGCTTCATTCCTGTTCTTAAGGGCGTCCAGTTCTCTCTGTTTATTCTGAATCTAAAAACACATATGCATTAAATGTATAAGGCGGTACAGTTTGGTGCTTTTATTAAACGAGGCACAGGACAGGATTTCCCACACCTCTCTCTTGTAAGCTGTGATTTCCTCTCTGATGCTCCTTGCTGTGTCCACATGCCGTGATGTAGCTTTGTTTAGATCTTGAAACTTTGCTTTATACCAAGCGTCCATCTCCTAGTGAACACCGGTCGGGAAAAACATGAGCATTTGTGAGCAAAACAGTTCAGTCTAAGGGATATTGAGGTTTATAATACCTGCAGGTTTTGGGCAGCGATACTGTCATATTGAGCCTGGATCTGTTTGAGGGCGGATGCCAGATCGGGCAAAGAGAAGGCCACATCTACTTTAGCCACAGATCCATAAATCTGAGCCATCAGCTCCTCGATTTCCTGACATACAGAACACAGTTGTCAGAATATGAATTCAATTATTTACCATATTAATGCAATGAAATACCCAGTGATTAACAATAAAATCACATAGCTATTTGAGAATATTCTTTGACAATATCTTTTTTTAACATTGATTATATTTCTAGCACATTTAACAACTAAATTTTACAGTCCGCACACTGAATTATCAATGAACCTTGTACAACTTAAAAAATGAAGTTGAAAGTGGTTAAATTATTTTGATAAGTTAAAGTAATGGAAAAACATATGTTGCCATGACTTGTAGAATTTTTTACAGTGGATACAGATGATATTTATAATATTATATTATTCATAATAATATGATGATATATACAGTATATAATTAGATAATATTAGATAATTTTATATTTAAATGGCCTGCACCTTTTTGTGAATCCTCTGCAGGAACTCAAGCTCCACTTCCAGGTTTTCCAATCGTTTTTCCAAGGCAATTCGGGCGGATGTGGCTGCGTCCACATCCTAGTAGACAGAGAGAGTTTGAACCCCAGTCATTATGTAAAACCAAGTGATGTTACACTTTGTGTATTAAGTTGGACCTTACCGGTCTGAAGGTTTCAATTTCAAGCTCTGCCTTTTTCCTGGCCTCCACAGCCTCCTCGTATTTCACCTTCAGCATTTCCAGCTGACCTGCCATGGCATCCTTTGCTGCTACCGCCAGGTCCTACGAAAGCACAGGTAAGCTTCGAAAGCACATACTTGCTAGAAATGAGTGAGTTATGGTCTAAATGTGTAAGTAAGTCATTATTGGCCTGTGGTCATCCCTCACCCGCTGGACTTTCATTTGGTCAGCAATCCTCCTCAGCTCCCTCAGCTGGTCCTCATAGAGCAGTCGCAGACCGGACGGCTTCACATGGTGGCTCTTGATGCCCTCAATTTCTGCCTCCAGCAGCTTGTTGCTCTGCTCCAGAGAGCGTACCTGGAACAACCACACTCAAACTCACAGGCTGGTCTTCAAAGTGGGAAAGCAAAAGGAGAAGATGGAGAAGTGCCTTACCTTCTCGATATATACAGCCAGACGGTCATTGAGGACGACCATCTCCTTTCTCTCACTGGTGCGTGTGCTGAGGAAAGCCTGGTTCTCAGCGGCTGCAGTGTCCAGGTCCACTGCGCCCCCAGCAACCCCCAAACCCATGCCCAGACACAGCGTTCCCATACTCACACTGCTGAAGAAGGACACAAACCAATACATTTACAATGTTTACTATTGTCAATTTTAAAAAATATATTTTTTAATAATAATACAAAATACAAGCTATTCGACCAATTAAATGCTCAAATATAGTAATAATGGAATACAATTATTATTATTAATGATATTATATTATATGTTATTGTTATATTATAGCCTATTACAGCCAGTGATCTTTTAGTATCATTGATATACTATAATATTTTTATTAATATTTTGAATTAGATTTTATTTTTTACATTTTCTGTCTTGTGTGTTTAGTCAAAGTTTTAGTAAATTTGTTGTGTTTTTGTAATTTTTCTTACCTTTAAAAAAAGAAAGAAGTCTATATAGTTAGTTTAACCATTTAAACTAACTTTTAGTTTTTAGTGTTAGTTTATTTGGTTTTTGTTGTTTTAGTACTTCAACTGTAACTAAACAGAAATGAGAATTGTTACCCCGGCAACTAGCTGAAATATCTATTTTATTTTATTTTATTAAAATTATTGTTTATGTTATTTAAAATAATGAAAATGTTTTAACGGTAATATTATATTATATTATATTATATTTAGTGCTGTCAAACGATTAATCGCGATTAATCGCATCCAAAATAAAAGTTTTTGTTTGCATGATATATGTATGTGTGCTGTGTTTATTTATTATGTATATATAAGTACACACACATTCATGTATATATTTCAGGAAAAATATGTTATGTTTATATATTACATTTATTTATTCATAATATAGATTTTATGAATATAAAAATAGACATGTAAATACATGTAAATATTTTCAAAATATAATATACTGTATGTATGTCTTTATATATACATAATAAATATAGCTACACCGAACACTCACATATATTACGCAAACAAAAATTTTTATTTTGTATGCGATTAATCGCTTGACAGCACTAATATTATATTATATGATTGCATTTTGTATATTTTGATATTATATTTACAATTTGTTGTTTTTATTACTTTTTTTAATGTCTGCATAGTTTTTAGTTTTTGTTATTTTAGTAGCCTACTTGGTCCTAAAGTAAACAAAAATAAGAAATGTTACAGCTGAACTAAAATAAGCGATGCTATGATAATGGCATACCTGGTCATGCGTGATTTGCGGGACCCGGAGAGCGCCCCGCGTCCCATGGTGCCGCTGCGGGTGTAACTGGCGGAGCGGTGGCGCGCGGCTCCACGGGTGGGAGAGGGGCTGGAGACCCGGACCTGAAGCGTGGAAGAGGAGGTCAGGACACCCTCGAAGTGACGGCGGTACGAAGACATCCTTTCTGGGCTTTGACTCATGGTGAAGCTGGTGGTTCCTCGCGCGTCTCCAAAGATGCGTTGTGTCCGCACTCATTGATGATGGAGCTTTATAGCTGCTGTCCGGGCGAGGAATGTCGACCCTCCGCTCAACTATCTGACGGGCCACCGCGAAGAGCTTTACCACGGTAAAAATAGACGAGTGAGCTTTCCTAATGGAGACGGCAAGCCTGAGAGTGAGCCTTACACTGATGAAATTCTCTGCACTGAAACTGTCTGAACACTGAAAATATTATTTGTTACATTTAAATAGTTAAATAATAATAATACTAATAACACAGTTTATATTATTTACAATAATTATATTATATGACTCTTTATATTAAATTATATATCATTGTATTATATTCTATTTATCATTTAAAGTTGATTATGATCTTTCCCATTTTCATTATACAGTATATATTTATATATAATAATAAAACAACAGTACTATAATATTATCTACAATTATATTATAAGAAATAATATGATATGATATGATATTAATTATATTATATAAATTATAATATAATAAAAAACAGGAATCTGTCCGGAACTAATGTGTGGATTTGCTTCCGCCCGGACCGTTTTCATGTGCACATTTAAATTCCACGGAGTGTTTTTTATGTCGCGCTCCTCGTCTGATTAATTCAGAGTATCGTTTCATTTGAACACAATTTAAGATCACATTAAGGCTTATTTTCTACCTCAAACACCTCAAGATGGCAGGGAACTTCTGGCAGAGCTCACATTAGTAAGTAGAGACGTGTTTTGTGACATAAAGCGAGGGCATTAAAGGATTTTCTAGAGGTGTTGCTGTTGCTGCGAAGCTGTGAGAGAAATAAAAACGTACTGATTCATGGATTTGCCTGATTATAGCTAACTTTTTACCAAAGCTTGGTTAATACCATGATAAAGAATAGATACTAGAATAAATGTCTTTTATTTTCGGAATAGTATAAATATCTGGATTATTAGCTTTAGCCGGCTGGCTAACTTAGTGGCTCTGGACTGAAGAAACCATAGAGAAATTAAATTCATGAATAATTAGTATAAATGTGTGTTATTCACGGCATTAGATCATTTGAAGTGATTTTAAGATGTTCAATTAGTCTAATTTTGTTTTGATGCTTGTATGAAGTTTGGAAATATTAGACATTAGGAGTATATTAAATATACAGCGTGATGCTGCTGTGTTGATTTATAAGTTATTCTTTTATGATTTCTGAATTGAAAGTGTTGATGTTTGTTCTTATCAGTCTGCAGTGGGTTCTGGACAAACAGGATCTGATGAAGGAGAGACAGAAAGATCTCAAGTTCCTCACAGAGGAGGAATATTGGAAGCTACAGATATTTTTTGCCAATGGTATGGAGATAAACTGTTTATAAATATGAATATGGGCCTGTTCTGAATTAATGCAAATCATCAGGTGTAATTCAGCTGCTTTGTATTTTATTTAAGATGGGTTTTTAAGGAAATGTTCGTTCAAAGACTAAAGGAATAAACCTTGTCTTGAAACACTTTAAATAATTTGTCATCTCGTGGCAGTGATTCAAGCCTTAGGGGAACACTTGAAACTCAGGCAGCAGGTCATCGCCACGGCAACCGTCTACTTTAAGCGTTTCTACGCCAGGTGAGCAGGTCGTTTCCTTGGTTACAGCCACAAGATTGATGGCTCTTGTGTTCTCCAAGTGAGGGTGCTACATTTATTGTCAGTGCTTTTTTCAAGTACACTTACATGAAAGTAAAAGAAAGCTCTTGGCTTGTTTTCAGGTACTCTCTGAAGAGCATAGACCCTGTGCTGATGGCCCCCACATGTGTGTTTCTGGCCTCTAAAGTAGAGGTAAACACAGTCTCGATATGGGAATTTCTGCTGAAAGATGCATGCATTTGAATTTTAATGTAATAAAATTCTGTCCTTAACAGGAATTTGGTGTTGTTTCGAACACACGCCTTATTTCAGCAGCAACGTCTGTGTGTAAGTGATTTATATTTTACAAACTCGTCAGACAGGATCATATATTACTACAGAAATGCATTTTTGAGTTCCCTAAAGCTGAATTGTACAACTTGTGCCTATGATATTCAGAGTTTAATATAAAGTACAGGGTTTCAGGGGGTCTCAACAAGTCTTAATTCACCCTTCCACAAATGAAGAGCAGAACATTTTAAAATCATAAGGTCATGCTAATAAATGTTGCATGCACTGGGAAAAAAAAAAAACGATTGTCTTCCTTAGTATTTTTGTTTTTCAGTACAATTTTAAAATCATAAGGTCATGCTAATAAATGTTGCATGCACTGGGAAAAAAAAAAACGATTGTCTTCCTTAGTATTTTTGTTTTTCAGTACAAATGTCTAAACCAGGGATGCCCAAACTCGGTCCTGGAGGGCCGGTGTCCTGCAGAGTTTAGCTCCAACTTGCCTCAACGCACCTGCCTTTAAGTTTCTAGTATGCCTAGTAAGAGCTTGATTAGCTGGTTCAGGTGTGTTTACTTGGGGTTGGAGCTAAACTCTTCAGGACACCGGCCCTCCAGGACCGAGTTTGGACACCCCTGGTCTAAACATTCTTAAATCAAAATGCATTTATTTGAGATGCAAATCTAAAATGAAAAATTCAACAAAATGATGTGAGCTTATGCTTAAAACCAGAACTGTCAATGTAGTTTTCGCTCTAAATGAAGTCAGTTTTTCTGAGCCCCTTGGAAGATGTTCTGGTTTCAAACCTTCAATAATAAACTTACTTCATTTTGATCAATTTTACTGTAAACAAGATCTTCCAGGTCTTCTGTCACTCTGCTTCTCAGCTAAACGATTTAAGTATCTTTAGGCATTTGGACTGGAAAACAAGACAAAATACTACTGATGAAGAACATAACTTTTTTGCAGTGTGATCAGAAGGAGCAGTAAATGTTATTTCCATATATAAATGAATAAAAAATGTGTTGCAACTCATCGTGTGCTCTCTAGACATTTACATTTAGAGAACATATTGACGTGTTGCTTCAGTTTATTCCTTACATTTTCTTTTCTTGGTCTTAAAAAGGTCTTTAAAAAGCTTTAACTGTATCTACATAAAACCTGCAGAAACCCTGAAAGTTTAACTCAGCAACTTCATTAAAACCTTAACCATAAAATTCAACTTTTTAGACATAATCACCAAATCTCTCTTGGGAATCCCAGATCGCGATAAGCATGCTGATTTGTCTTACTCAAGTTTTCATACTAATATGGAATAAATATATCTTTCTCTATTTATAACAGTGAAAACGAGGTTCTCTTATGCCTTTCCAAAGGAGTTTCCCTTCAGAATGAACCACGTGAGTCAAACTTCTGTGCTTTGCTACAGCAGAAAACGTACGAGACACTGATCTGGCATGTAGGCGAGTGTGAGTTGTACCAGATGGCCTTGTTGGTCTCTTACTGAGAAGAGTTTCTGATTTTGGAAATCTGACAGCGTCACTAGAGATCTAGATAAAAAGTTCTTGTAACTGTCAGATTCATATGATGGAAACGCTGGCCGAGAGGCTGAGATTGTGTGTGTGTGATGATGCAGTCACCAAGTTTCTGACACCCAATCAGGAGTGACATTCCTCAGGCTTCATAGGAAAGTCTCATTATGGTGATAAATGACTGTTGGCAGCTCGTGTCTCGGGCTGTTGATAAGTGCGGTATGATTACAAACAGTGTTATTTGTTGGGGATGCCTCTGGTCAGGTGCTGCAAGGGAAACATCTCGGAGGTCTGGTGGAACGTTTATGGATCATCGTAATGGGAAAGATGATCATTAGTGTGCATAACATGTTAGTGCGATGATTTCGCAGTGAACTCACGCTTCTCTCTCTGTGTCTAGATCTTGGAGTGTGAATTCTACTTACTGGAGCTCATGGTTGGTATCGATTCTTCTTCTTTAGGATGTTTAGATGTTTGTTTTTGCCATCTGTTCATGGATGTTTGGTTTGGATTTGTTTCAGGACTGCTGTCTGATCGTGTACCACCCTTACAGACCGTTACTGCAGTATGTGCAGGATATGGGTCAGGAGGACATGCTGCTGCCGCTGGCTTGGTGAGGAGTGTGTGGCTTCAGACGGCATAAAAAACGAACAACCACTGTTCATTTTGCCTTATAAGTCTGTTAGAACAGTCTAAGTTGAAATAAGATAAGTTGATAAGTTTGCCTATACAAGCCTCTTGCTTCTGAATCTATGCATCTCCCAAAAGCTCTTCGGACGTTTATGGATCATCGTAATGGGAAAGATGATCATTAGTGTGCATAACATGTTAGTGCGATGATTTCGCAGTGAACTCACGCTTCTCTCTCTGTGTCTAGATCTTGGAGTGTGAATTCTACTTACTGGAGCTCATGGTTGGTATCGATTCTTCTTCTTTAGGATGTTTAGATGTTTGTTTTTGCCATCTGTTCATGGATGTTTGGTTTGGTTTTGTTTCAGGACTGCTGTCTGATCGTGTACCACCCTTACAGACCGTTACTGCAGTATGTGCAGGATATGGGTCAGGAGGACATGCTGCTGCCGCTGGCTTGGTGAGGAGTGTGTGGCTTCAGACGGCATAAAAAATGAACAACCACTGTTCATTTTGCCTTATAAGTCTGTTAGAACAGTCTAAGTTGAAATAAGATAAGTTGATAAGTTTGCCTATACAAGCCTCTTGCTTCTGAATCTATGCATCTCCCAAAAGCTCTTCGGTTTTTTTATCCACCTTGTTTTTAACGTAAGAGCAGGTGCGGCCATTTGTAACAAGAATGTGTGAGGCGTCCGGTGTCATTTGCTTCCAGCAGTCTTATTTTAGTATTATTTATGTACTGCTATATTTTTGGTTAATGTTTTAAATTATTATTGTTATTATTTATTTTTTTATTTTGTTGTGTTTTGCCATTTTTATTAGTTTTTTTCCTTTTAAATATTATTTGGTTTTTCTTTCTTTCAGTTTTAGTTCAGTTTTGGTTTACATTTTGTTTTTTTTTTAAAAAGTTTTTCATCTATTTATATTTTATTTTGAAATTATTAATATTACTATTTTTTTTTTTGCAATTTTGTTGTGTTTTGCCATTTTTATTAGTTTTTTTCCTTTTAAATATTATTTGGTTTTTCTTTCTTTCAGTTTTAGTTCAGTTTTGGTTTACATTTTGTTTTTTTTTTAAAAAGTTTTTCATCTATTTATATTTTATTTTGAAATTATTAATATTACTATTTTTTTTTTTGCAATTTTGTTGTGTTTTGCCATTTTTATTAGTTTTTTTCCTTTTAAATATTATTATTTATGTTTTTTTTTTTGTTTTGGTTTAATTAAAAAAAAAAGTTTTTCATCAAATATTTATATTTTATTTTAGCTTTATTTTAATTAGCAAAAATATTTTTTTTATATAGTTTTAGTTTTAGTTAACAATCCTGTCTTCCAGTTATGTTATGGTGCTTGATATTGCAAACTTCTATTTCTTATCATATTTTTTATTTATTTATTATCTTTATTATAAATGCATTGGTTTGAAGCACAGATAGTTTTACCATTTACTGCAGGGTTATTATAGTTATAGAAATAGTTGTAGAAATAAAATAAAATAACTGAAATAAACAAAAAATTTACTAAAATATAACTGAAATACATTTTTTTTAAATTTTGACTAGTTACCAAGGCAACATTTCTCATTTTAATTTAGTTTAACTTGATGTATTTAAATAACTAAAACTGAATATAAATTAATAAACTATAGACATATGAACAAACAAAAACTACTGAATATGACAAAAACGCACAACAAAATGACTAAAAGTTGAAAGTTTAAAAGATGAAAACTGCAAATATAAAAATAACTAATAACTAAAATATTAATAAAAACTATTATATATCCCAATGATACTAAAATTACACTGTTTACTGCATTTTTTTTTTCTTCTAGTCATTTACCTATAGCAGCAATCACAGAAAATAGTTTACTTCCGTGTTGCAAAATAAGCTGAATGAGTGAACATGAATGTCCTGTGAATGTGTGCAGGAGGATAGTGAACGACACCTACAGGACAGACCTGTGTCTGCTTTATCCTCCATTTATGATTGCACTGGGTAAGAACAAACTTCCTACATTTAATCCAGCAGGTCTTATGCTTGCAAAGAAGCAGAAAATTGGAAGTTTTATATCCGAATAACTGTATAAGAAATGGTCATGTCACATACCAGTGGGCAGAGTTACAGATTGTGTCTCCTTCCTTCTCCAGCCTGCCTGCATGTGGCCTGTGTGGTGCAGCAGAAAGATGCCAGGCAGTGGTTTGCTGAGCTGTCTGTTGACATGGACAAGGTAAGACACGTCCAGCTGTAAAATGAATGAATGTTTCTGTCTTGCTGTGTACATTAACACTGGAGCTTTTCTTCAACAGATCCTGGAGATCATCAGGGTGATTCTGAAACTCTATGACCAGTGGAAGAACTTTGATGATAGGAAGGAAATGGCCGCTGTGCTCAACAAGGTGCCCAAACCCAAACCCCCTCCTAACAGGTACGACAGACTGCAGACCTCAGTTATCAAAATCACACAACACTATATTTATTTATATGGAAATAGCCTGGGGTGCTTACTTATCTCACCACTGCAAAGAGAAACCATGAAAAGAGGCTAATATTTTTTACTCTCATTCAGTGCAAAAGGTCTTTGCAACTCTTGAATTCTTGAAAATGTCCTGGATAAAAGTACAATTACAGGATTATAGTACAGTTATAGATTTTTTAAAAATGTCTTAAAGGGTTAATGTCACAGTTTTTGAAGTTGAGTATGCTTTCACACTTGTGAATTCTGCACCGCATTTAACATGGCTATGAAGCCCAGTGATATTTTAGTATTATTTATAAACTTTTATAGTATTTATTAATATCTTGAATTAGTTTTCATGTTTATATTTTCAGTATTTTATGTGCTTTTGTGATTTATTTATTTTTACTGTGTCTATATAGCTTTAAATTTGTTTGTTAAAGTTTCAAGTTTTTACAATTTTTAGTATTTGTATTAAGTTTTTCTTCCAGTATTTGTTTATTTTTATTTTATTGTTTTTGATTGTTAGAAAAAAAGCCCTTTATTAAAGCCTGTTTTATGTTTAAAGAAATTTTATTTTTTAGTACTTGCGCTTATTTCAGTTAGTTGCCAAGGCAGAATTTCAAAATTTAGTTTAAGTTCCAAGTTTTTCATCTAATGTTTATATTTTATTTCAGCTTTATTGCAATTACCAAAATGTTTGGTAATTTGAATAGTTTTAGCTTTAGAAAAGTGGAAAAGACCTCTTTCATCTCATTTCACTTCTGCGCCTGTATTTTCTTGCTTTTCTTACAACAGTGAGACTGACCAGAGCTCAAACGGGAGTCAAAACAGCTCGTACAGTCAGTCCTAGAGCGGCCCCTGCTGAAGGACTTGAGGTGGAATGATTCAGAGAGGCAAACACAGCACATCCTGGCACATCTGAATGCTGCTTTTCACAAGCACATCGTTTTATGACCGTGTGGAAAACCGATTCCTGGCACACACATCCTCTCTTTCCTCTCTTCTGGGTTCTTCCAGCAATCAGAGCAATCACAAACGCACCTAATTGGGTACCTGCTTGATGAAGAGGGGTGCTGTTTTCCCAGATCGATGGTCCTGACTTCCTTAAAGTCCCATTAGGCTTCTTTCAGCGGATGCTCTTTGGGAACTCGTTGACCATATCACAGTTTGTATTCCTCAGGGAAACGGATCAGTCCTCTCTACAAAGTGGCTGTCTGTAAACTGATTGGCCACAGGGCTATGTGACGGCGATCTTTTGAACCCTCGTACTGTGTAATTAAATCCTGATTGGATATTTGACACACGTGTGGATGTGAGTTAGAATGCACAAGTGACCGATAGTTGAGTTGATCACAATATGCTTCAAACTGCATTGTAAATATGCTTTCCATTTAAAGCCCTTGACTTTGTTTTTTATCATTTTTGTCTTATTATAAAGTTACTGTATGATTATGGTATATGTGTACTTGCCATAACCCAAATGCATTTTTTTTTGCTTTCATTTTGTTTGTTTTTTTAATTGATGTCTCTGTAGCTGCAGCACACTGAAGTATCCATCACGTTTAATGGAGGACAAGCCAATATCTTGAGGGTTTTGGAAATGTAGATCTGCATCTTAGGTGTGGTTATCAAGTCCCTCACTTCCCATCATTTCCATCTCCATCATTAGTTTGAGGGACACACAACTAATTGTTGAAGGACCTCAAAAGATTTTACAGTACATACATGTTTGGCTGTGTTTGAATGGAATTTTAGTTTTTGGCTTTGTCTCTCACTTTGGTTCTTTGTTTAGCTGTGCTTCAGGAGTGTTGCCTCATCTTTATTGAGTGATCTTGCATAAATGTGGCCCTTCTTCGTGATGCAGTGTATGTATTATTTGCCTGTATATATATTTGAGAGCTGTGAAGAGAGGTGAGAGGGCTTGGAGTGTTCTCATTTGTTTGTCTATAATGGAGCTCAGAAGCCTTATTGAATAAAGCTGCTGTTGAAACAAAAATTACTTTTTTTTTTGGAATGAAAAGTGTCCTGTGTTAAAATTATATATATTATATATAATTAAATTATTATATAAAATAATTTCATATATTTATAAAGTTTTAAATAATTTATATTAAAAGAATTGTATATTTTAACATTATATTTTAAACTTAATTTTAATGGTGCATTGGCAACTACGTGAAACTTACTTCAGCTAGTTGCCAATGCAACATTTCTCAATTTCATTTAGTTTAACTTGATGTTGGGTGAATTCAGGTAAATTGGGAAACTTTTTTTCTCTTTAAAATGACTGATTGTCCCAATTATCATGAATTTACTTACTACCATAACTAATAAATAAATCAATTAATTAAAACTATTTAGACTTGATTTAATCAACTAAACAAAAAAAATTAATACTAGTAAAATCGACAAAACGCAACAAAATTACTAAAACTTTAAAATGAAAATTAAAACCGAAAATGTAAAAAATAAAACTTAATTCAAAATATTAATGAAAACTATAATAGTAGGTTTCAATGATATGAAAATAACACTGATGTAAATAGTACAAAGTAATGCTTCGTTCTGTGGGCTTAGTTGCAGAGCTACTTTATCCGCTGTTTCTTGGAACAAAAGAATGAAATATTTATAAATGACTGATTTCATATTATGAGCTATTATGAATTTTTTTGTTACCAAACTAGTGGATCTGACCAATGAGAGTGGCGAATCTGCGCGCTCGCCCCGCCCCCTCGCAGCATCAGCAGCCCCGCCCCTGGGCCCTGGCTCAGCTGTACGGATTGATGCCGACCCCACCGCGGGGACGGACGGTCAGCATCAAGAGGCGACATGCCTGCTGCTGCTCCTCACCCGTTTGTCCTTAGACCCTCTGACACCCACATCCTCACCACCTCCACCCTGCGGCACCGATGAAGCCTCCTCTGTCGAACCCACACCGGGCCGAAGGGCGGATAGAGGAGAGAGAGGATGTACTGGCGCGTCGGCTTCGCCTGGAGCCGCTCCTGCGCGCTTGAGCTGGGCCAGAACAAGAGCCTCTCGCTCGGCTTGTGCGGCTCTGAGGAGCATCTCTCGTTGTATGGGTACATTATCGCCTACCCGCTGCAGGAGTACGGAGAGATCATGTCTGCGTTAGGATTCGACTCCTGGTGGAAGAAAACGCTCTACATCACCGGGGGCGCGTTGCTCACCGCGGCTGCCTATTTACTACATGAGCTGCTTGTCATTAGGTAGCTACCCTACCTAATTAAATTTGATAATATAATTTCTCCTAAAGTAATAATATGATTTCTACCATTAGTATCTAATGGGCCCAAAGCTTTTCACAGTAGATGGTGCTGTATCTTGCTCATTTTGGACAGATTCTGGTGCATTTTTAAAACAAAATTGATCATTTTATGATGTTTTAGTGTATTTGTGAACTGTTTGATCTCCATTAATCGAATACACTTCCATATTTGCTGCCCTGTAGGAAGGAACAGGAGTTGGACTCTGAAGATGCCATCATTCTGCATCAGTTTGCTCGGCCCAAGACTGGAGTCCCTAGCCTGTCCCCTTTCTGCCTGAAGATAGAAACATACCTGCGGATGGCGGACCTTCCTTACCAGGTATCAAAATATATGATGATGATGTTATGTTGTGAAAAGAGATGGATGTTTTTCAAACGTACAAGCTATTTTCTCCTCAGAACTATTTCGATGGGAAGCTGTCTCCTCAAGGGAAGATGCCATGGATGGCGTATAATAAGGAGCAGGTGTGCGGGACAGAGTTCATCATTGACTTCCTGGAGGAGAAGCTTGGCGTGAACCTCAACTCCAGCCTGAGTCCTCAGGAGAAAGCCATCTCACGTGCCATCACCAAAATGGTGGAGGAACACTTCTACTGGTGAGAATGAGCTTGGTTTTTCTTCACATATGGTCTAAATCAGGGCTGTCCAAACTCGGTCCTGGAGGGCCGGTGTCCTGCAGAGTTTAGCTCCAACTTGCCTCAACACACCTGACTGGAAGTTTCTATGCCTAGTAAGAGCTTGATTAGCTGCTTCAGGTGTGTTTAATTAGGGTTGGAGCTAAACTCTGCAGGACATCGGCCCTCCAGGACCGAGTTTGGACAGCCCTTGTCTAAATCAACCTGATATTTGAATAAACATCTTCAATATATTGTTGAAAGACTAGATTCACTTTTATAAGTGGATTCCAACTTGAACTAGTTGAAGTTACTGAACGACTAAAATGTGTTGATAATCTAAATGCGATGCGTTCTGCTTTAGGACGATAGCATACTGTCAGTGGGTGGACAATGTGGAAGAGACGCAGGAGATGTTAGCCACAAACGGGCCGCTGAGTGACCTGCTCAGATGGATCTTGAGTCAGGTGACCGGCAGCATTGTGAAGAGAGAGATGTACGGCCACGGGATCGGACGCTTCTCCAAAGAGGAGGTTTACTCTCTGATGGAGAAAGACATGCGCACCCTTGCCACATTCCTTGGTGTGTTTTGAACATCTGAGGCACAGTTTTTTTTAGCTTTATTGGCAGGATTTGTAGCATTTTAGTCATTTTTCATATTTAATCTAGTTCCTCAACTCTGGACCTCGAGATCCACTTTCCTGCAGAGTTTCGCTCCTACCCTAATCAAACACACCTGAACAAGCTCATCCAGGTCTGCAGGATTACTACAAAGTTGCAGGATGGTGTTTAATCCAGGTTGGATCTAATCTCTGCAGGAAAGTGGATCTCGAAGTCCAGAGTTGAGGATCTGATCTAGATCATTCTTTTTTTTTTGAAACCGGGGTAACAAAATAATGCAGCAATGGATCTGTGCTGCCCTCTAGTGCTCAGTAAGCCTAAATCCTCCTTTCACACTGGAAAAAAAAATTTTTTTACATAGTATTTTTTTGTCTTATTCTCCAGTACAAATAAGTAAAGATTCCTATATCAAGATATACTTGACTTGAGATGCAAAATTACTTGTTTTCTGAAAAATGTGAGGTTGTGCTTAAAACAAGTGGGGTAATAAATATAAACTTAATTCTAAGGCAAAACAAGATTATTTTTCTTTTTCTGCTGACAAATATTTTTTTCTTGTTTTAAGCATAAACTCAGTTTGATACAATTTTATACCACTTTATATATTCATTTTGATAAATTTGTCTGAAAACAAAACTTGAAGTAATTTTACTTCTCAAATAAATGTCGTGATGAATAATCCTGAAAGAGCATACAGGTGAATTGCTATGAAAACGTTCCTTCATGGAATAAAAGATAAGGTAATTGCAACTTTTTATCTCACAATTCTGACTTATTTCTCTCAATTCTGAGTTTTTATCTCACAATTCTGGCATTTATATGAGTTTATATCTCACAGTTCTGACTTTTCTTCTCAAAATTGTGATGAAATAGACTCATAATTGCTAGAAAAAAGTCACATTTAAATTTTTTTTTAGTCCATGGCGGAAAAAAAATGATGAGAAGTAAATTTAGAAATTAGAGGGAAAACGTCACAATTGTGAGACATATTTTCACAATTCTGTGATCAAAAGAGTCAAAATTTCAAGATGTACACTTGCAATTCTGAGGAAAAAAAGCCAGAACTGTAAGATATAAGTTTGCAATTATGTGAAAAACATTCATAATTGTCAGATAAACAAAATCGCAATTACCTTTATTATTTTTTTAGTCCGTGGTAGAAACAAGCTTCCATAGGTACCTGAGCCATATCTACAGACCAGAACATCATAGCAACAAACCAGAAAACACATAAAAAAACATAAAAAATATTTTTCTATTGTCTTATATAATTCAATTTAATAATACAATTTATCCCATAGGCAATAAAAAGTATCTAATGGGCCCGAAGCTCTCCACAGTAGATGCTGCTGTATTTGGTCATCTCGCTCAGGCCATGTGGACTCTCCCAGGGACACGTCCGGAGCAGTTAATCAAAGGTGAGGTCATGAACTCATGCTTTTTGTGTATGGGAATACTGTCGTATAATGTTTTGAGCGCATTAACTGCTAACTAACTGTTCCAGTTTTTATAACCATTTCTAACTAGGTGTAAGTAAGTTGTTGTTTTTTAGCATGTGTGTTTGGCTCAGTGTTATTTTTTATGATTACTGATAAAGTACTGTCATTTGATTTCTATTATTTGTATTTGTTATTTATTTTAATTGTAGTTACATTGTGTCTGAATTTATTATATCTGTATAGGTCTTTTATTACGTTTTTAGTTTTATTTAATTGGAGTTATTTTAATACTTCAACAAACTAAACGGAAATGAAATAATATATATATATAGAATTTATAAATGTGTACGTACATACACATATGTAGTTGTTTTTTTGGTGTTTGGCTTAGTGTTATGTTAGAATCATTATTATACTCATACATTTTGTTCTTTAATATTTTGAATTGTTTTTAGCTGTATTTTTTGTTTTCCATTTAAATGTTAAGTTTTGAAATTTTGTTGTATGCATTTGTCATTTTTATTTAATCTCTTTATTTTTTTTTATGTGTATAGGTAGTATTTATAAAGTTTTAGCTTTTAGTTTTGGATCTGTTTTTAGTTGTTTTAATACTACAATTGATTGCTTCTGTTGTCCTCATTTGTAAGTCGCTTTGGATAAAAGCGTCTGATAAATGACTAAATAAATAAATCAAAATGAACTGACTGAAGCTGCTTCATCGGTGCAGGCGAGTTCATCAACCTGGCCATGTACTGTGAGCGAATCCGCCGCAAATTCTGGCCGGAGTGGTTTGTGGACGTCGACGACCTTTACTACGACGGACTGAGCGAGGAGCTGGATTCTCCTTCCCAGCTTCTGGATTTGGGTCTCTACTCACGCAGTGGCAGCTTCCAGGAGCAGGAAAGCGCTCTGTCGCACCACGACACGGCGTCACCGGACAGCGACATCACCGGGCGCTCTCTGTTCGACTCGGACATGGACACCGAATGCTCGGAAATAGAGCAGTTGAAGTGAAAACCACACCCTCTTGATGGTG